TCACTTCCCTTCTTCACCACTTCCCTTCCTCACCACTTCCCTTCCTCACCACTTCCCTTCCTCACCACTTCCCTTCGTCACCACTTCCCTTCCTCACCACTTCCCTTCCTCACCACTTCCCTTCCTCACCACTTCCCTTCCTCACCACTTCCCTTCGATGTATTGTTCTGTGATCTACCACCCTTCATCATGGTCAATTGCATCAAGTAAAAGTCATTCGTAACTCGGAAGTATTGCTTCCCAACTTCCTGTGATAAGGGCATATTTGCTAGGGATATTCCGTTATATAGGCCTCAAAAATAGGCCTGATATATGGTAGGTACCTCCAATCAATCGGTTCCTGAAATGTCCGTTCTATCCGTGGTGAAACTCACAGGTCCCCAGAGCCATCTCCATCCCCAGGCCCTCCCCGTCCCAGCCCTACGCAGCGACCTCGGCGCGCTGCTGACGGCGGGCCGCTTCCTGCCGCGCTTCGCGATGGCGGGGCCCTGGGGCGCCGCGCAGCTGACGGATCCCTTCGCGGAGACGGTGAAAAGGTGGGGGAAATGGTCACTGGGGTGTCAGGGGGGATTGATCCCACTGTAATTATCGTAGGGATTTATTGGGATTTCAATAATTGTAATCAAAATATAAATCAACAAAGTGTCATAGACTGTAATATATATTGGGATTTCAATAATTGTACTGTAATCAAAATATAAATCAACTAATTTACTCAAATAGTAGTTTTATAATAGTGAGTCAATAGTGGTTAATCATGACGGCTTCATAATTGCTAATGATACAAGGTTACTTCGATGGTTGACGATAATTGTTAAAAATGGTTTGAATTTGTTTATAGTTAGCGTTGTTTATAATGATGTTTAATGGTTTATAATCTCATTGTATTTTTTGACGGATATAACGCTGGGTGTAAGGGTGATTGATCATACTTCATAGGGATTTGGAGGTTTCGTACAATGGTAGTACCCCAAAAGCTGGATAGTTTATAATGGAAATTCCATTGAAAACGGATGAATTTGGAGTACCTCCATGTTAGGAAACCCCCCACATGGATATAGGGCATGTGACCTCTTACAAAGGGGAAATATATCAATATCAATGGCAAATGATAATATCAATAGCCAATACATCTACATATAACTCTATTTATCAATGGTTAATAAGAAAGCAGTGTGCCACTTTCCTTTTTTGGGGGATTGTTCCGCAAGCAAATCCAAGAAAAGCGTGGTTTAACCAACATCTTTTTTTAGACATTTATAACAGTTGGATTTTTAGTCGTAAAATCAGTTGCATGGAGATTGGCAACTTTTGATACCTGGCTATAAATTGTTTTTTGTTGCCGTTTTCTGTAGGTTTTCATTTTTGGAGGAATTAGCTCCTTTATCCATAGAATTACTTAAAGTTGTACAGCACAATTTTAACCCAGTTTTCTTGCTTGCGAAAACCCAAGCATTCTGCTGGTTAAATCTCCATGTTTAATGGTTGGCAACTTGGTTGCTCTGGCAACTAGGGTAGCCCAAGAAGTCGGTGATCGTTTTGAAAAACCCACCAGCGAGTGTCGTCGCCTGGGCCAAAGAATGGAGAGATCACAAGTCTACAGGAGGCATTCCAAGCAGCCAAGCTGTCGCAAGAAGGTTGGCAGTTTGAATGTCAGGGATACACAATAGTCGGTCAAGGAACAGGCCCTATAGTTCGCGAAATTGGTTTCTACACGTTTATAATTAGGTTACCTTGGATTTATGGCGTTTTTTCTTTCAAAAAATATATATATATATATCATTCGATCTATGAGGTGGGATGACAGAGGTATAGAACAATTGTAGCCTGAGGTAACCAGTTTGTGGTTATGGACGTTTTTCCCGAAAAAATGAAATCGTTTCAGACGTTACCGAAATCACTGGGAATTTGAGGGGTATCATGGCAGTCTGACACATCCCCATATTTGCTTGCTGTAGTTCTGGTGCCGGAAGGGGTTCCGCAGTTAGCCAAAGTGGTTTAAAAACTATCATAATTTTCATGATTGTCATAGTCTCAATCAAAATCATCATAACTATCATAACTATGGTCTATGAATGTCTATGATACTTATAACTACCCATAGGATCCATGTATGCTATATATGGTAACATTTACCATCAATATACCCCAAATGTCAGCATATATACCAGCACCATGGATCCTATGGGCTATACTTCGAATTAATTAGATCAGGTTATAAACCAAAAAAAACACCAGGAGGGGCCGTTTTCGCCAGGGCTGGCCTCACGGATCCCTTCGCGCGGAGCAACTTGGTTATCCACATGTGGGTTTGTTTCCATAAAGGGAAGATCCCCAATAGTTTTAACCATAGGAAAACCATAGGAAAAAAGGGATTTGATGGGAAATTTCCATAAATGGGGGCTTCCCAAAAATTGATGATTTATTTCATTGAAAATTCCATGAAAATGGATGATTTAGGGGTACCCCACATGAATTGGACATTAGATCATGATTAATAGCACATTAATAGTACTGTATAGTTTTTGATCATGAGCAAATGCAATTCAAATGTGTTATTAAGCATTATTAGCCCATATTGGTGGCCACTATCCATCATGTCCAAGAGTTGGATTGCCATGCACTAAAAGTTGGATATACTGATTAACATTGATTAACCCATATTGGTGGCCATTAATCTATAATAGGGACCTTTATATATATATATATGCATTACAAGGATCCTCGTTGTGCGGTGCATGACCATAAACCGTGGACCATGTTTTGACCACAGCGCAATTCTACAATGCAAAAAAATTGTCTAGTGACCTTATTTGACTGGGATTTGGGGTATCTATTTTCATCGGAAATTTGTTGTTTCAACCAAACCAATTCCCGTTCCAACATATTTATATATTATCTATTTTCCCAAAATGGAAATCCCGGAATGTCCGGGGTTTTCTGAACAAAGATAACAGACAAAAACAAATAACACAATACCTGCCAAAGATGCCTAGAGAAAAGAACATTTTGAATATCCTCCAATATCCCCACTAGGTATTCCTCAATGGATTATAACCAATCATGATCCATAATTTATATTATAGCTATCCCTGTATAGTTGTTCATTCTCTCCAAAATACAGCGATCACATGATCATATCCACAAAAGTACAAGTTTATTTATTTGTTCCCATGTCACATGGACTTCCCATATGATGGTTTCCTAAAATGAGGGCTACCCCCGAAATCATCCATTTTCATAGGATTTCCCGGATTTCCCATTATAAATTATAAACCATCCATTTTTTAGGTGCTCCCTATTTACGGAAACCCCCATGTGTTTCCGTCAAAATCCTCACAAATTGTCAGACAAAATGCATTTGGTTTTGGGTAAAATCTGAAGAATTGTTTTTTTTTTTTTTGAGGGATGACTCTCCAGTGGTGAAGGGAGGGAGCGATTTGGCAGCCACGGAGTTACTCAGAGTTTCCCAACCACATGATACATTCTGATAGATGACCAGAATTGTTGATGATGTATTTTGGGGCTCACCACGGATGTGTTTCCACTTATAATTGGACATATTATACACTATATATGTAAATATGTATTTATAGATGTATACATACATACATACATACATACATACAAACATACAAACATACATACATACATATGAACATATATATATATGTATATACATACATACATGCATACATACATACATACATACATAGATACATACATACATACATACAAACATACATACATACATACATATGAACATATATATATATGTATATACATACAAACATACATGCATACATACATACATAGATACATGCATAGATACATACATACATACAAACATACATACATACATATGAACATATATATATATATATTTGTATATACATACAAACATACATGCATACATACATACATAGATACATACATAGATACATACATACATACATGCATACATACATACATACATATGAACATATATATACATACATACATACATACACACACAGACAGACAGACAGACAGACAGACATACATACATACATACATATATACATATTTATATATATATATGTATTTATATACATACATACATAGATACATAGATACATAGATAGATAGATACATACATAGATAGATAGATACATACATACATATAATATTTTCATATATACCTTTAATATATAATATTCATATAAATAATATAATATAAATCTATACATATATTTAATATAGGGGCCAAATCCCTACTGAAGGGGGGAATTAGAATTACCAATGGCTATGCAGATAACTTCACCAGCAGGGTACCAGCAGTGTTTGACTTCCATCTCCCAATGGAATCCCCATTGAATCGCACCATGTTTGATGATGAAATCCCCCAAAAATGTACGTTTTACCTCTTGAACAAAATGATTTTACACAAACTAAAATGTATAGAGAAAAATGGTTTTCCACAGCGAACTGTGTTGACACGGGTTCTGATCCGTAGATCTGATTGAACAAACATCTTCAAAACAGTCAAACAAAATAAGCAAGGGATCCTTATTAACCAGTATTAAACAGCACTATCCAGTTTCCTAATGAGGATGTAGCACCAATCGTCAAAAGAGTTCGGATCGAGATTAAACACTGCTGATGGTTAATATGCGTATCCATTTTAACATCAACAACTAGTAACTATTTAACCATTATTATCCTGGTCTTTAAAAGTAGCATTAATTCAACACTATTAAAACTATAGTACCCATTTTACATCAATGGACATTAATAAAAAAAATCAACACTTATGAAGTACTATTAGGTTGAGTCATTAATGTGAATGTGAAATACTAATACTTTGGTTTTTCCAGGACACTATTAATATTAAGACTATCAACATCAACACGCATTAAACACTATTAACTAATGTTAACTGTTTCTAGGATCCACTACTCAATTAACATTAAACATTAATGACACGTTACTAGTTAACACCAATAAAACACTATTAAACACAGGTTAAACATTATTAAACACTTATTAAACACTTATTAAAAACTATTAACCACTACCCCATAGGACCCATGGTGCTGGTATATATGCTAACATTTGGGGTATATTGATGGGATCCATGTTACCATATATAGCAGCACCATGGATCCTATGAGTCTGGTAAACGTTTACATAACTGTGGAAATGGAGGCGACCCTGATGAAGTTGGTGAATCGCCGTTGTTGTTTGGTGATCGGAGGAACCTGGCCGCAGTGCTTGCAGCAGAGACTAATTTTGCTTTGCAGGTGGTGGGCAGCAATCTTTCATTTGCAGTGGAGGAACCAGGCGTTCGGGCTACTACACCAGGAGATGAACTGGATAGACAGATTCCTGACACCGCAACACCGGTGACCGTGGCGTCAAGAGCCCGCACACTGCGGAGAGTGGTGTTTATGCCGGCTGCTCCTTCTGAGCTCACAACAGAATTGCTTGCAGACTTAGCTCTGGGCGCTCGTGTGAAAGGCATGTCAGATGCTTATCCAGAGCGTTTTTGTGAGACCAGTTTAGACGGATTAGGACCTGGAGTCCCCCCACAAACACTCAACAAAGGAGCTTCTGCTGCCTGCATTGGACAGTTCCTTAGCGCTGTCGGCCCGTGGGGGGGTTCACTCTTGTATCCCCAGGATTAACCACTACTAACATAAACAGATGATTTTCCCATTAATACCTCCATTTATTTGGGGGATTTTCCATGGCTATGTTAGTCATCACCAGATGGTAACCACTACTAACATCAACATAGCCATGGAAAATGGCCTATAGATGATTATCCCATAGATTATCCCATAGATTATCCCATAGATTATCCCATAGATTATCCCACTACTAACATCAACAAGACCCCCCCCTTTGTCCGTAGGATGGCTGGACCTCTTGTGCTTCTGCCTCTCCGGTCTCCCCAGCGACGGCACGGTCACGGCCGAGATGGCCATGATGTTCGGCGAGCGCCACGGCCGAAGCGCCGCGGCCGGGGGGGGTGCCCTTTAAAGGGGCCCTTTAAAGGGGCTGGACATGGGGAGGTTTCATTTAAAGGGGCTTAATCATAGGAAAACCATAGGAAAATGATGATTTATATAACCAACAAACAGAGGTTTATATGGTTTAATAGTTCAACCATAGTTTATAACTATAGTTAATGGGGGTGTAATGGTTTAGAAACAAGCATAAATGGGGGTATCCCCAAAATTGACGGTTTATCATGGAAAATCCGAAAACAAATTGGATGATTTGGGAATATTCAATTCCGATTTCCGGAAACCTACAAATGGGTGGATTTAACCAGCAACAGTCTGGAGTTTACTTACAAGAATGGAGATTGATAGGTGATTTATGTGTGCTAAGCTGATTTTACTTGCAACAATGAAGATTGATAGGAAACGTTTTGTGTTCTAAGTTGGTTTTGAACAAGATCTTTGATTTCTGGTAGATGTATAGCTAATGGGGTTTATCAATGAGAAAAAAACTGTGGGGCAGCACCTTGGGTGGAATTGGAATTCGATTTCAGACAAAGCAAGAAGAATGGTAGATTATGCATACATATATAATGTCAACCCCGGATTAATCAGGGGGGTACTTACCAAATAGTCATTTCATCTGATACTTTTTTATGGTACCCTCCCAATTAAACAGCCCAGGGGTTTATTAATCCAGGGTTGACATTATGCATACATATGGGTTTGTCTGAAAATATGGTATATTCCCAATGAAATAGCCATTTAAAAACGGGATAATGATCAGCAAAACCATTGGGTAAAAAGGGGTACACGACATTTTCAGACACACCCATATATAGATTTGTCAATCTAAGGAAGAAATATGTTTCGAATCTTGGGCATACATGTATATATATATATATATTCCATAGTGTCCGAGTTGCAAGTGGTTTAGTTGTGTTTACAACTCAAACAAGGCCTTAGGATGGCGTGTGGATTGGATAGTGATCCCATGGTTTGTTGCGATTTCCCGGTCGCCAAGATTCTACAAGCCGTCGGCCATCATGGATTATCCTGTGGGTGGTGTCTCTTGACAGATGTGAGACGAAAGCTTGGATCCTTTCCCACATACTCCACGTATGGTACAGATCTAAAAATATACCCTCTGGTAAACAAGCATAGCTACAGTATTGAAAATTGCCATTTATAGTGGATTTACCCATTATATAAACATGGTGATTTTCCATCGTTACGTAAACGTTTACCAGAGGGTAAACATATATGCATGACGTTTGCCTACGGTTCGAATAGTTTTTTTTGTGTGTGTGGATGTGGGGGAAACATGAGTACATATCATGGACGACACATGGAACATGCATTTGAGCCTGTCATGGCAATGGGACAAATCGGGATAGGACGATAGGGATCCTCCTGCTGCTTGACCAAGTTCGATCCCATGGTTGCCTGGGAATTTACCGTTAAAATCATCGAACCAAAGGTATTTTATTGGCGATGTTCCATCCATGCTTGGTGGTTCATCCCACTTAGTAAGTGGGTTATAACCCCAGTTATAAATGGGATAAATAGGGTTAATCCACCTATAACTGGGGTGAACTAACCCACTTACTAAGTGGGATGAACCACCAAACAGAAGATAAGCCTAAGTGATGTAATTACCTGTGTTTGCTCTCTTTTGAGACTGAAGAAACGCAACTCACAACAGTGAAATGTCCAAACAATACCCAGCCGGGGAATCTGAGAGCACATAGATGGGCCATGGCTAGTTAGGGAATTAAATATACAGCCAAACAAATGTCCTTCCTGGGGTTTGTAAGGTTTGCCATATTCTTGTTGGTTGATAAGTTAATATCATCAACGAGACCCCTATTCTTGATGGTTAGACACTTGTTTGGCAACTCCGCAAAAAAGGAAAAACTGAAGAGTTGGAGGCCAAAACATGATTAACACGTGATCTATACCATCCTATAGAAACACCCTTTCAGATTCTTGGTGCTTACTATAGCTGGTTGGTGGTTTGGCAGATTTTATATTTTTCCATAATATATTGGGAATAATCATCCCAACTGACGAACTCCATCATTTTTCAGAGGGGTAGGTCAACCACCAACCAGTATAGATATCCTTTTCCCAGCTGGTTGAAGGATCAATCCCATCATCCCCAAGATATGGAGGTTTCCTCATGGTGGTACCCCTGGCCTTTATAGAATAGAATTCATCCCCTAAGGCTTGAGCTTTATGAAGCACCGAGCAAAAATGGGCATCGTAGCATGCACGGCGGCGTTAGGTGAAGAGCCTGGTGGAAGTCTTGGTGAAGGGTCTGGAGAAGCACCTGGGGTTTTTGAGCCATTCTTTTGAGACCATGGTTGATCCCAAAATGGAACAACCAGATAGATTGTATGGATATATATATATATATAACAATGGCTGGTAGTATAATGTGGATGATAATATAATGGATGATAGTATATGGATAATCAATCTAAGGAATTTTTTAATCAATGGATGATAGTACAGTATATGAATCTGGTTGCTGGTTTGGAACCATGGATTTTTATGACTTTCCATATATTGGGAATGTCATCATCCCAACTGACGAACTCCATCATTTTTCAGAGGGGTTAGCAGCACCACCAACGAGCCATGGTTGATCCCAAAGATGGGACTTCATCAAGGTTGATAATGTCATCCCCGGATTTTGCTAAACCACGGTTTATTAATTAGGGGGTACTCCTCCAATAGTCATAATCTGATACTTAAATGGTATCCCCCCAATTAAACAGCCTAGGGGTTTATTAATCCAGGGTTGACATTTGTGGTGAATGATGCTGATTAATGGTTAACATACCCTTGTTGATGGGGATTGAATGGGATATTTGCGGGTAAAAAAGCAACAACTTTAGGGAGTTTACAGGGATATAATCGGGATGTAATCAGGACAATGGAAATATTGAGCCATTGAAGATACCATTGCTGATTGGTCATGACATAAGGAGTTATACTGTTATACTAGTTGGGCTATTGATGATTGGGGATTAAAACACATGCCATGGTAGGCCAGGCACGTTTTTAACCAACTAGTATAACGAGATTGAGATAGGGATCTGTAGGGACAGAGGTGTGATAGTCTGTAGTGCTTCAACCTGTTCAACAATTGGGGGCGGAAAAAAGGGATATTATTGGGACATCATGGGTTTTTTTTAATGATATAGTGGAACATGTTCTGGATAAACTAGAACTTCATCAATAAGGATTTTAACCAACCAACATGTATTGTGGTAAACAGCACCAGCTATAATGAGATTGTAATGCGGATTAAAGATAGTATATGATATATGTCTTTTATAAATTGCAACGACCTCGTCATTTCGACATCACTTTCATGATTAATTCAAGTTTGGGAATGATCATTTTTGTTTATCAAGATAAATGGGATAACATGAGTATATAGAACAAACTGGAAACAGGCTTTATTCGCCAAAATTGATATTAACCAGCCAAAAAATAAAATGCTCATATAACGAATAAAAAAGAGGACACCAACTGAATGGGTCGTTTAGTGCAATTTAGTCTGTTGTCATTTGGATACGGATAGGGATATATCAACCTAACCAAAATCGTTGATGTTCGCGATCAATATGCAAGAGTGGCCGCTTGCTGGGAACCGCTCTCCAAAAAGGAATTCTTTGTGAGGGTATTGTGGAATTTGAATAAGTTGCAATGATATATCTCAAAGTAAGATTAGCTGGTTGGTGGTTTGGAACAGTTTTTATTTTTCCATATATTGGGAATAATCATCCCAACTGACCAATATTTTTATTCCAAATTAGGTTTGATGGTATATTACTGAAAAATATAGTGACTAATCACCAATATTATTCCAACTGACCATATCTTCCCAATCAACCAGCTAGTATATTGGGGGGTAGGTCAACCACCAATTAGTTTACCTGCAGAAACATCGTGGATTGAACCTGCAGAAAAGATCAGCATTGGTTACCAGATAAATGTGGTTTCACCAGCCAAAATGGGGAATGAAACCATGAAAAGTGACCCACCAAAAAGGAAGATTTTATCAAGATATGGGGTGTGGCTAGGAATGACCAGGAAAATGTTGAACCATTTGTCACCAGAAGGGATGGGCAAAAACTTAAAAAAGTGATTTATGTAGGGGACTTCCCCCATTGTCTCGCCGGTTTTCATCTTTTCATCAGCAAAATGGTGACTGTTTAGATGCTGAATCAGCAACGATACGGGTACTGGATCAATCTTGGACGGCTAATTGAGTACGATCCAATCTTTTGAGATACCTCCTGTGTCATCAAATACGGCTAGCTGGAAAATCCTCGCATTAATGGAGTTTTCTAGCTTGGAAAATCATTTATAAGTGGCTGATTTTCCATTGCCACGTTTGATCACTGGAGGGTAAATGGTGATATCTTTGCTAACCAGCTTTAAATCACATGCGCAGTACCGGAGATTGACCAACGAAACTAAGTGATAGACGTCGTCAATGATCAGTAGACCTTGACTATTTATTTTTAATGTACCACCAGCAATACAATGGGGAATACATGTTTTGTTATGTTCAACACCAAACTTGGGCGAATCAGTTAATTTGGGACAGTTTTGATGGAGGGATATGTCATAAGTCATATTTTGCTCCATAGTTGCTCCATATTTGCTGGTTCTAGTGGACCCCATTTTGGTTCTTGAATGCCAAGAGTTTTTGGAGGTTTCAGATGCAACGCTAATCTGGAATCTGACGAAGGCTGGACCACTGGCTTGATCACATGGTCCATAAGCTGAGCCATGCTTACTGGAAGGTCGATTTGGAGGTTTCCTAAAATGGGAGTACCCCAAAAGCATAGTCACCATCTGGTTGGTGGTGACTGGAACATTTGGATGATTTTTTCATATCTTGGGAATAAGGATTCCAACTGACGAATCTTTTTCAGAGGGGTAGGTCAACCACCAACCAGCCATAGGTTTCAATACTTAAATGGTCAAGCGTGTCTACATACTTTTAAGATCGTAAAACAACTACGTTACTAGCGTATAAAATGCTACGTTACTAGTGTATAGATGTATAGAAGATCACTCCGAGCGTAAGCTGGAGATATTGGAGATACCCATTCCAAATGTTCTAACGACTACTTGGATGATTTGGAGGTACCCCCATTCCGCTGGAAGATTCCCAGGTATGGTGGTGAGCTTCGCCTTCGATCTCCCGTCAAGGCGCGGTTTTTTTCGGATGTGACGATGCACCGCTGGAAGCGACACGAGAATTGGATGTTTTTTAATGTGTAAACCATCAATGGGGGTATTGGTGGTTCATCCCACTTAGTAAGTGGGTTAGTTCACCCCAGTTATAAGTGGATTAACCCTACTTATCCCATTTATAACTGGTGTTATAACCCACTTACTAAGTGGGATGAGCCACCAAGTGTATAAAGCCAAAAGAATGGGAATAGGTTGGTTTTCTAGGGTTTTATTATGTTTTATTCTTCAGGGGATAGAATGGAGAGAAATAAAGCATCAACAGGGGATAACATGGTAATCCAATTATGTAGATTCTGGGATGGAACAGTTGGATTAACCCCTGTTATCCCCTGTTGATGGTTTATTAGAGAGGTTATACTTTCCATTTGCTTGATTGGTAATTCATCATCAATGAGCCGGAACTATGATACTTCATGAATTGGGAATCCCCATGAACCAATCCTTTTTTTGTTGGCGGAAAAAAATGTTTTTTCCCTACTGAACTCACTTTTTGTGAACTCCCCACTAGAAACTATTTGTTTGATGGATGAATCACCATTTGATTGGTTTGTTTCTCTCCTCACATTCATCATTTTTGTGTTTTGTGTGTTTGTGTTTCTTGTTAAATCTTGAATCTAAGACCCGTCTCATGCTATGACAAATATAGGGTGCTGCCACGTGTCGTAGCCGACTTTCTGGCTAATGAACATCAATCTATAAACACTAGCTACTGTGTAAAAACATGTAAAGACAAGGTCACAGCACAATGGGGATATCACCCACATTGGTGAGACACACCAATTTCTCAGATTGATACTATATATTTAAATGAGCCAATGAAAACTCAGGAAACCTTCTGCATACCTGGACCCTCAAAGTACCCAGGTAAAAGGCCAAATACTTATTGTTATTGGTAATGAAATTGAGGGTGTAAGTGTATTGTTTTTGTGTTCACCAAATGGTCAACTGTGGTAGTTTTTGGGATCCATATCCCCTTCATAGATTTCATAGCAGGTTCGCAGGAATCCAAACCACCCTGATCACCAGGTAGTCATTGGACTAGGTATATTCAATCCCTATCTTCATCAATTTTTCATGGATCCACCATATTTTTTTTGGTAACCCTCTAGTTATGACTAACATAGCCATGGTATAGATGGCCCATAGAAATAGATGGTTTACCTATTAATAGCATGGTGATTTTCCATGGCTATGTTAGTCATAACCAGATGGTAAATCCCAAGTGTCATCCCATTATTCACCATTAAATCACCATAGAAAATCACGATTTTCCTAGTGGTTAAATCATCATTTTGCTGGTTAAAGTACAATTTTTAACGATGAAATCCACCACGTTTGCCACAGGAGATCCTGGTAGAGGAGGGCCGTGCAGTTGGCGTGCGCACTGCCAAGGGCGACATCCGCGCGGCCACTGTGATTTGTCGCTTCGGTTTTTGGTGGCGCTTTGTGAAGTGGGGGTTGAAGCAGCAAAAATGGTGGATTCCTCTGATTCTCTATAGGAAAACCATAGGAAAATGGTGATTTAACCACTATAAATGGTGATTTTCTATGGTTAAGAATGGTGAATAATGGGATGATATGGGATTTACCCTCTGGTTATGTCAAAATAGCTATTGAAAATGTTAATTTATAGTGAGTTTTCCCATTAAAAATGGTGATTTTCCATAGTTATGTAAACGTTAGAGGGTAACAAAAATGATGGATTGAACCAAAAAAAATGGACATGGTGATTTAACCATTGAAAATAAATGGAAATGGAGGATTCAAGCATCAAAATTGTCATGTGGATTCAGATGTCACATATTCTGGTTGGTTTGACCAACAAGAGGGATTTAGAGGGAGATCTAAAAAATGGGATATAATGGGATATATATATACAATGGGGTTCTGGTTGGTGGTTTGGAACATGGTTTTTATTTTTCCATATCTTGGGAATGTCATCATCCCAACTGACTTTCATATTTTTCAGAGGGTTGAAACCACCAACCAGTATTTGTTTTTTCAAAAATGAAGATTCCACCAGCAGAAATTGAGCGTTTGTTTCTGACACGACATGGAAATCGACCACTTGCATGGGCCCTTACGTGGCCTTAAATAGTAAAATCGTTCCACATAACCCGCTATATCTCCAGGTTTGGTTGGGGGATAGAACCCAGTTGCGCAACAAAACTTGCATAACTCTATGGCCCATCTAAGCATTCTATTTAAGATTGGTCAATACTAGCCTTTAGGTCAAACATATCCTTTGTGACAACAGACGCGTTTACTTCACAAAGACGGTGTTTTTCATGTAGCAACTGTGAAAAACTCGAAATTGAAGATTTTTTTTCACAGCTACAAAACGCATCAAAGCGCAAAAAAAAAGATGATTCCGCAACTGGTTTCGTTCAACAGCTTGGTCGGGTTACCTTTCGGAAACCCCATCTCTAAAGGACAGCTGTGACCGCCTTGGATGCCTTGGCTTTTTCAAACTTTTTAGGGGGTCGGAATCCCATTACTTCCGGATGTACAGAGAAGGCCTGGATCGTTTAACGTTTTTATCTCGTTGCTTAATAGTGATGGTGAATAGTGGTTTTCATAGGCTATAAACCAACAACAATGGGAATATGATGGTGATCTGATTGGTGGTTTGGAACATGGATTATTTGTCCATCATATATGGGATGTCATCCTTCCCCTTGACGAACTCCATCATTTTTCAGAGGGGTAGGTATATCACCAACCAGTTTTGTTTTTTCCCCACCTGCCAGGTGAGGGTTGTTAGATTTTATGTCAGTTGCCTCCTCCTCCTCCTGCCTCGTCCTCCTCTCCTCCTCCTCCTCGTCGTCCTCCTCGTCCTCCTCGTCCTCCTCCTGCTCCACTGCGATCCATGTCAGTGTGCCCTGCCGGACCTCAACCACGACCATCCACGCCCAGTGTTCCCTGCCGGACCTCAACCACGACCATCCACGCCCAGTGTTCCCTGCCGGACCTCAACCACGACCATCCACGCCCAGTGTTCCCTGTCGGACCTCAACCACGACCATCCACGCCCAGTGTTCCCTGCCGGACCTCAACCACGACCATCCGTGCCAGTGTTCCCTACCGGACCTCAACCACGACCATCCCCGCCCAGTGTTCCCTGCCGGACCTCATGTGGGAAGATATGGGACAAAGAATGTGCAGAAGAAAGTTAGAAAGAATGTCAGAAAGAATGTCAGAAGATATGCCAGAAGATATGCCAGATAGAATGCCAGATAGAATGCCAGAAGATATGTCAGAATATATGCCAGAAGATATGCCAGATAGAATGCCAGATAGAATGCCAGAAGATTTGCCAGATAGAATGCCATAAGATATGCCAGATAGAATGCCAGAAGATCTGCCATATAGAATGCCAGAAGATATGCCAGATAGAATGCCAGAAGATTTGCCAGATAGAATGCCAAAAAATATGCCAGAAGATATGCCAGATAGATATGCCAGAAGATATGCCAGAAGATATGCCAGAAGATATGTCAGAATATATGCCAGAAGGTATGTCAGATAGAATGCCAGAAGATATGTCAGAATATATGCCAGAAGATATGCCAGATAGAATGCCAGAAGATATGTCAGATAGAGTGCCAGAAGATATGCCAGATAGAATGCCAGAAGATTTGCCAGATAGAATGCCAGAAGATATGCCAGATCATATTCCAGAAGATATGCCAGATAGAATTCAAATAGAATGTCAGAAGATATGTCAGATAGAATGCCAGAAGATTTGCCAGTAAGAAAATGTATAAATGTCATGGTGGGGATCACACGAAGTAAAGTAATTTTTAATGAGTGAGAGGTCTTTTTAATGAAATTTGTCGAAATTGGTGTGTCTGAACATGTGGTATATTCCATCAAATAGATGCTTGTTTTTACTGGGAATATGATGATAAACCTTGACAAACCATTCCATTTCAGGGTAAGTACCCCATGTTCAAACTAACTATATTGAAAATACCCTCTGGTTATGTCAAAATAGCTATTGAAAATGGCAATAAAAATAGTGAGTTTACCCATTAAAAATTGTGATTTTCCATAGTTACGTTAGTTTACCAGAGGGTAATTTATTCACAGCAAAAATTCCTGGGCTTGCAGTTGAACATGGACACGGGCCCGGGGGAAGTACTGTGTTCACTCCACTGCTCTCAGCCACTGGAAGTTATTTGTTCCATCCAACATGTTCTGTCAGAGTTGCAGCACTCAACAGGAAGGCCATTGTTCGACCATGGGTTTTGTAAGTGGATTCTTTCAGCCATTGAAGTAGATGGCAACTGAGGCAGTAGAATGAATATTGCAAGATCAACGCAAATGGAGTATGCCCCAAATGGGCTTCTCCTAAAATTGCGAGGTATACCAACACCAAATCCACTGTGAATCGCCATGTGTCCAATGTCCGATTCAATTGACAAACCCATTCGTGCTGGTTACAGCCCCATCTATGTCAATAGTCTTGCAAAAAGTGAGCCCCGCCCCATTCATAAGTGTTAAACCCGTGAAGCTATAGATATGCCCATCATAAATCTTAGTTGCCACGGCTAGCAGCCACTTTTTGGATATCACTCTCTAGTTACGGTGAAATCCGGTGTCCTCTCCATACGGCTGTCCAGTTTTTGAGGAATTGTCATCAATCCATGATATTTCATAGAGGTTTTTACACCCATCTAATAGGATTCCCAGTAGCAGGATGAATATACTACTACTGCAATTAATAGTAATTAAAAACTAGATAATTATTGATATAGATACGAATTATTTGATGCTCAATAACACTACAATATACGCCCATAAACCATTCATCCCATGTATCAATGGGAATTTCAGGATCCTGAAATGGACGTACGTTAGTACCATATTTCTGACCATATTTTGCTGGGGGATTTTTCCAGCTATAAACCTCCATTTTTTATGGGGGATATTCCATGGCGAACTGTTAGTCATAACCAGAGGGCCAGAGGGTATATATATCTTCTTCATTGACATTGGATCACCAAAGTTGATCGACATTGCTGAATCACCTTGTTGAACTATAGCCATGGTATAGATTGGGGGATTTTCCATGGCTATGTCAGTCATAAGCAGATGGTAAATCCCAAGTGTCATCCCATGAAATTCACCATTGTTAACCATAGAAAATCACCATTTTCCTAGTGGTTAAATCACCATTTTCCTATAGTTTACCAGCATTTTCCTATGGAAATCCACCATTTTTCACCATTTTCCTAGTGGTTTTCTATCACCATTCAGCCGCCCCAGGCAACGTGAGCGCCTGGGATATGGCCAAGCTACTGCCCCCCGAGACGGCCGACAGTCGGTGGTGCCAAGATCGAGCGCAGATGCTCGGAAGATCTTCACGGCAAGTGGGGGCGGTTATCACCATAGTCGGGAATGTAGCCCAAATATATGGGTGATATAGTGTGTATATATATATGTATATATATATATAATATGTATATATTGAATATAATTTATATATATATATATATTACAATATATACTTTTTACATTATATATTATATATATGATTATTTGTAATATATATAAATAATTATAAGTATGGGTAATTTATATATATATTATGTATGTATACATGTGTATATGGGTAATATATATATATATATGTCTATATGGGTGATATTTGGGTATGTTCGAAGTTCCATTGTTCCCCACAATATATGGGTAGCCTCTTGGTTAAACCGCCATCGGTGCGTGCCTTCTGGATGACCTTACTTTGGAAACTTTAGGCTATAAATGGAAGGTTCTGGAAGGAAATGTGAGAAAAAAAACATCATTTCCCGAATTGTTCGTGTTTTTGTTTGATTCCAATGGACCCACAAGCAGTGTTTCTTTTCCTGTAGCCGAAATGATCTGAATCTAAGTTTAATGACTTACTACGTTACTACTTGAACAATCATCGTCTCGAGTTTGGTTGACGTATTTCCGTTTCCAAGCGAGAAACAGGTTTGACTAGACGTTGTGATGTGTTGAAACTGTCACCAGACTGTTTCCCTCCTTTTGGATGCAGGTCATGGAGAGGAAAAAACTCAGAATGGAGGATCACCAACACATCCCCAGGATAGCAGCGATGCCGCTGATAGATATCTCAGCTGTTGAGGCTGGAACTCCATAATAGAGATTGCTATAGCCTGCATAATTATTGCAGGGCTGTCCATCATGTTCTGGTTCAGAACGATGCACCATCTCTAGAGCATTTGAGCACTGCATGCGCTGTCAGAAACGCTGTCAGAATGACAGAGGTCGATGAGCGATACCACCCGGGTTGGTTGATTAGAAGTAGTGTGAGAAACCCAATAATAAACTTAGCATTTATGGATGAGAGTTACCACCCATTGACAGTGAGTTTGGTGATGAATTTAGTATTGGATATACCACATTAGTGGGGCTATAGTGACTGGTTCCATGGTGATGGACAACTATGTCAAGTATCCAGTGCAGATATGACAAATGCGCCCTTGAAGCCAGTGACAATTTGACATGTTTGTTCACATGATTCCTTCGTAATGGACATTCATTGGCTGGTCGGGATTTCTTTATAAAAATCAGTACAGCATCATGCTGTTGATTTTCTATCACATCTTTATACTTTTGCAAGTATCATACGTGCCATGGCTTGTGAAAATTACAGCAGAGCCTGCTATTTGCAGAAAAAAGGTAATGGCTGCTTGTAGAAACAACACTCAACCAAACCCATTCATGTTTTTTTTTCAACCGCATCACCAAGTGACAGATGTCCCGACCCAGATGCTTCTGGCGCAGTAAGGATGCCACCAACCAAATCCTTCATGCACCTGTGTCTTGGCGATTGGCATGATGGATGGCCAGTGGTCCATGGACCTACCATTGGACGTTTTTCTTCGCAGGAAGTAGCCCAGTCTATACATCAGCTACCACTCAGTGGATAGATTAAGGATGTTTTTTTCGCACTATACTATATGATATTTATTGACCGCTTAGTAATTTGGATGCACCCCCATGCTTTTTTGCATATGGCAACTGTTGACAGTTTCAACGTACATTGCAGATCAGCTGGTTCACAAGAGTTTTTTGGCGCACACCTTTCACGCATTAAAAAATTATGTAATCATTCTACTACATCACTAAAAGATGGTAATGTAGGATAGTATGGGATTTGCACAAACATAGCTAGTGATTACCTATCCTGTTTCAGGGTGTTCCCAAATCAATCGTTTGTGCAACTATCACGGACCTGTTTCACTGGCATTCATGGGTACATTTCACCAACGCGACGCGCAGTGGAACCAACGCGTCGGTAATGCAGCTCTCTGGTCCATGATCCATTTTCGATGCTACTTGTAGTCAATGGGAATTTCAGGATCCTAAAATAGAGGTACTGTACCATATAAGGCCATATAAGGCCATATTTTGTGGGGATATTCCCTTATATAGGCCTTACATAGGCCTTATATATGGTAGGTACCTCCAATTTAGGTTCCTGAAATGGCCATTGAAAATGGGGAGTCCCTACAGTTTTCAATGTGTACAACGATCTTCTCCATATCATACAAGGATAGATAGATATATGTTCCTCTTTGTGGAATCATGAGCGATTCCGATTGATTGACTTTTGGGGGCTAGGCTGAAACCAACCACCAGCTGCATGCTGTAATGTTGGGATGTTTCCTCAGGAAAATTTTGTGTGATCACTGTTCAATATCGAAACTTCACTTTGTTTGCAAGATGGTGTGCTTTTTCTTCCTTGTTCTGTGTGCGTTACACACTGAGACACCACCTTGCGCTATTTAAAGAGCACGTGGTTTTTCACAGTGGTTCACCGCTCCGGCTGCACCAAACAAAAATGCGGTATACCTCCCAAATATGGTTATTTAACATAGCCATGGAAAATCACCATTGATAATAGGTAAATCATCTATTTCTATGGGTCATTTTCCATGGCTATGTTAAATAACCAGAGGGTAACCAGTTGATTTTGTACTTTTTTGCCCAGCACTTTCAGACAAAATCACATGATGTTTGTACCTTCCATGCGCACTTTCCGGCACGATTTGGGGGCCCCATCGATAGGCAAGTTTGGTTTATTGATTTATTTACTTTGGCTTGTGGTAGATGTACCAACAGAAAAGATGGCTAGACATAAAGGAACAAAGATACCCTCTGGTAATTTAACATAGCTATGGGAAATCCATTAAAATGGAGGTTTTTTTGGGAAAATCATCTGTAAATGGTTCATTTTCCATAGCTATGTTAAATTACCAGATGATAATTGGAGGACCCCACATTGTAACTACTATTTCGTTCCAGTGAGCCGAGGCATGTAGGCTTTGATGCGACGGGTTTGGATCTGGGCAAGTTGCAGCCGCACTATATTTGCTTGAAGGACCTCTGGGCTTACCATCAAGATTTCTGGGAGTCCGGCATGCCATGCAGACAACATGATAAGTGGTGGGATCCAGATGGGATGAAGCCTCGATTTGACCGTCAAGACTCGAAAAACCGTTGGTTTTTACTCAACAGTTTATTCTCAATGGGTAGATCATGGGGATTTATAGCATAAAAATATGATGTTCGAAGTGTAGAACCGACCAACGTTTTTGGGGGTTTTAGCTGTCAAACATGGGGAATTGTAAAGCAACTGGTGAATCCAGCTCGTTGAAGTGGATTTGTTTAAGGTTTTCCACAATTCATGGCCGCAGATTCCAGATGTTCTGAAGTCAT